GGAGGAAATTTAAATGGAGATACTGTTAACAAGTATTTTAACAAGAAAATGTAGTTGTCCAAATATCCCAAAACATCAAAACACAGATGTAGTGGTACAGAATGGAACTTTGAGGAGTGTAGATGAAAAAAACGCCTATGTTGAGCATCAAGAAGTATGAGGAGAACTTACTGACAAATCTGTATTGGCCAAAGGATATCTATTCTGTGTTTCCTGAGAGCTTACACACACACACACACAGACACACACAATGACAAGCCCAGAAGAGACAGGAGACCTGTTCTAAATGACTATTCACATGCTATAATCTAGTCAGAAAATGTACTTCTCCCTGGATCATGGGTTAGAGACTTTGAAACAACTTTCTACTAGAATATAACAAATAAGTGTATGTTTACCGTGGACAGTGATTACACCAGGTTTCTCACTGTTGGAGAAAGAAATTTCAAATAATGATAGAGAAAGACCAGAATGAACGCTGTACTGTCGAATTAGGATTAGAGGTATCGGTGTAACCTAATTGTCCTTAATTAATACAAGAGAGAGATACAGAGATACAAATGTGTGTGGATGACTGGATTAGAATACAAATTTATAATTTCTGGTTCTGCCTCTTGAGAGCCTAAAAATAACATTCCAGCAGCCATGAGTATGCGCAGTATTCAGATGTTGATTTCTAAAGATCATTCTCTAGTAGAAAGAGTAAAAACTGCTTGGAGAAGTGGTAATTCCAGGCCTGGAGAAGGGAAGATACAAGATGAATCTGGAATATTTTGTGGTGCTAAACAGTAATGAAGTGTTCAGAGAGAATGAAGCTTGTTCAAAGGAGCCAAAGTTAAAGAGCTTAAATGGTAAAGCAGGAACAATTTAAGCAACAAAGTAAATAAAGATGCTATTGGATTATAACTCAAAGAGTAAAATCTATATTCATGATTCTATATTAATATATACAAGCAATAGAATAAATAAATAAGAAGGGAAGGGGCAGTTCTTCTTTGCAATATAATTTCAATTACATGGAAAAAAAGTAAAAATCACTATTGGGCTTAAGAATTATTATAGTCGGGGTCTCCCCTGGTGGTGCAGCGGTTGAGCGCTGGGCTGTGAAGCTGCCGGCAGCCTCTGCAGCGCTGGTTCGATCCCCGACTGCTCCCCGGCCACCGGAGGAGGGTCCCACATGGCGTGCAGACCTCTCCTGCTGCGCCCGCTGCTCCCCTCAGCAGTGCATTTCGTCAGTCTGCCTGTTCTGTTCCCCGCTCTGGCTCTGGTGAATCCTCTCACCCTCCCACGCTTCTGACTGTACCCAGTGCTTGTATAAATGAATAAATAAATAAATCTTTAAAAAAAAAAGAATTATTATAGTCAATAGACACTGATGAATACTAAAATTAGTGGGCTATGATTTGGGGGAGGACCCAAATTATTTTCAAAGTATCTTCCCATGAGATGTTTTTTAGTCAATATATTATATTGTATATTTATTAGTTAATAGTAACTACACAGGGAGAAGGCCTGCAAACACCACCTTAACCAAGTTATCCAGATCTTCCACCAGTAAGAAGAAATACTGATGTTCTAAATCATTTTATATGATGCACTGAGAAAGATAACACAATTCATGTGATATTCTTACCCAAACAAATAACATTCTAATCATGAGAACCATCAAATAAATCCTAATTGAGGGACATTTTAAGGAAGAAGAGGTCAGAACTCTTCAAAAGTGTGAAGGTCACTTGAATGTAAGACCTTACACCATAAAATACATATAATAAAACGTAGGTGATGTGCTTCCTGACATCAGCCAAAAGATGTTTTTGGGGACTCAACTTCAATGGCAAGGGAAACAAAAGCAAAAAGGTGACTACATCAAACCAAAAAGCTTCTGTGCAGCAAAAGACACTATCATTAAAAAGAACAGGCATCCTACTAAATGGGAGAAGATATTTGCAAATCATACATTTGAAGAGAGGTTAATATCCAAAATATATAAAGAACACATAAAACTCAACAACAACAAAAAAAAACACAAAATATCAAAAGTGATCAGAGGATCTGTATAGACACTTGTCCAAAGAGAACATAAATGGTCAACAGGCACATGAAAAGATGTTCATCTCTTATTATGGAAATATGAATCAAAACAATGAGATAGCACCTCACACCTGTGAGAATGGCTACGCTCCAAAGACAAGAAACAACAAGTGAAGAGAGGCTATGGAGAGAAGGGAACATAGGAGCCACGACATTAAATGTAATAAAGTGTTCTGAATTGGATCCTGGCACTGAAAAAGGGCATTAGTGAAAAAATGGATGAAATTCAAAGGAGGTCCATAATTTAGATTATATACTAATATTCATGTCCTAGTTCTGAATATTTTTTTAAAGATTTATTTATTTATACAAGAACTGGGGTATAGGTCAGAAAGCGCGGGAGGGTGAGAGAATTCCCCAGAGACAGAGTGGGGAACAGAACAGGCACACAGACAGAAGACACTGCTGAGAGGAGCAGCGGGCAAGACAGGAGAGGTCTGCCGCGCCATGTGGGTTCCTCCCTGGCCGACCGGGAATTGAACCCGCGCTGCAGAGGCTGCAGACAGCTTCACAGGGCAGCACACAACCCACTGTGCCACCAGGGAAGCCCAGTTCTGAATATTCTTATAGCTTTGAAAAGTGTTAAATTTGGGAGAAACTGGGTGAGGTATTTTTGGGAACTCTACTACTTCTGCAACCTTTCTTGAAATCTCAAATTAGTTCAAAATAAGTTAAAAAGGAAAATAATGCAAACATTCAATTACTTCACTGAAATCATTTCGGTGTCTGGAATAACTCCTCAGTAAAATAAAATATCCAGCACTGCTGAATTTATATCAAGGAGACATTTCAACAAATACCTTCATTGTTTTGATTATAGTACGAAAGCTCTAAAACTAAAGTTAAGTTCTTCTGCTCATAGACATAATGAACTCTCTCTATTTTTTCCTCCATGGGGTTTAGGAAAGGCCTTTCGGAGGAGGCTTGTTGGGGGGGTGAGATGTCTAGTATGAGCAGGAGCTAGCTGGGGACAAAGCTGGGGAGGAGAATTCTGCATGTATAAGTCCTTGAGATGAAAAATGGTTTGCTCTAGGAATTGGAAACAGAGTAGTGGAGAGGAATTAAATGGTGTGAGGTAAATTTGGAGATTAGAGGAGTGTCAGCCTGAGGCCTTGTGGGAGACTTGAGAATGATTCTGTGAGCAGTGGAAGTTTCTGAATGGCTGGAGAAGAGATACATGACCTTGGGAAGTCTTCTTCTCTTACTTTGTCTCACTGACTTTCCATAATGCTGGCCATGGTTCTTTATCTTTCCTGAGAAATAAGATATGGGACTATGCCAACAAAACAGAATTGATAAGTCATGGATAAACTTCCTGGTGAAACTTTTGTCTGGGGAGCTTAGAGAGTAGAGGGGAGATTTATAGGAAATTATTTTTTTAAAGATTTATTTGTTTATGCATACAAGAGCTGGGGTATAGGCCAGAGATGCACGGGACAGGGGGTGTGTGGATTCACCAGAGACAGAGCGAGGAACAGAACAGGCAGACTGACTGAAACACACTGTTGAGGGGAGCAGCGGGCAGGCAAGACAGGAGAGGTCTACTGCACCCTATGGGTTGCTCCCTGGACAGCCCCGGATTGAATTCGAGGCTGCAGATTGCTTCATAGTGCCATGCTTAACCCCTTGCGCCACCAGGGAGGCCCAAAAGTTTATGTGAAATTAAATATCAAACATTTTCTAAAGTATTGATGCTACATTGAGTTTTTATCCTTGCTCTTTGCATTTTGGTCTCGAACGTCTGATTCAAACACAGAATCATGTGACTTCAGATTTTTTGCTTAAGAAGTTCAAAAAATTAAAAGCATTCACCCATGGAAGAGAGGCAATGTCAGAAAACTCTTAGAAAGCCTACAATGGTCAGCAGCTATGGTGGTTGATCTGTCAAGAAAGAAATCACATCCTATTAAGAAGGTGTAGGGTATCCAGGCAACTCTCATTTCTTCTCATTCAATTTATCCAGGAATATTAAAAGGCAAAATAAGTAAAATTTCTGGTAAGTTTAAGAATTAGAAGAGATACGTTTTTGAGTATAATAATTCTCGTTCAAAAATCTGAGATTCATATGTACACTTTTTGTTTTAAATCTTTGTGACTGTAGTCAACTTACACAAGTTTTTTCTTCCTGCAATCCCTGCCATTGTTCAATTCAGGGTTAAAACGAAGAAGCAGCCTGATCCAAGGCTGTACAATGCACAGGATTCTGGGATACTTCATAGTTGTTTTTAATTAAAAAAAAAAAAATCCCAGATAGCTTGCTTAAAAAAAAATTCTTTTTCTTATATACCTTAAATGCAAAATAAAAAAAACAAAAACACGGTTAAGGAAGGAATGTGGCCTGGATTCCAACTGGCAGAAAGTTTAAATTTAAAAACAAAACAACAAAACAAAAACCTTCAGTCTCATGTCGTGAATTCCTTAAAGTTTTGTTATTTCCGAAAAATCATAAAGCACAAATCTGTCTGTGGTTGCAATTGCAAAGGAACAAATCGCATGCCCAGAAAAGCGGAATCTTAAGAAACGCTGCCTTTTCCTAGCTCTCTTTCCTAGGAGCAGAACCTCTAGGGAGTTTGGGTTTGCTGAGGCGGACATCACCGGGCGCTGGTTCCAGTTACTGGGCTCGGGGGTCCGCACCAAAGCGCCCCAGGGTGACGAGGCCTCTGGGGGCTGAGATGCGCGCCCCGTGACCCGCGGAGGTGCGCAAGCCTGAGCAGGTACCGGCCGGGGAGGAGTTTCTCCCTCGGTTTCCCGCACAGAGTCGGGGGGCTGGCGCGCAGGGCCCCCCGCGAGCCCGCTCCGCGTGCAGCCAGCGAACCCCCGCGGCGGGCCGGCTGGAGGGCGTCGGGGGGCGCGCTCGGCCACCTGGGCGTCCCGGGCCCGGCTGCGCGCCGGCGCCACCCACCTACCTGCGGGTCTGAACTGCGCGGCCAGGATCAGCAGCAGCAGCAGCAGCAGGGCCGGCGGGCCGGGCTCCGGGGACCCTCCGGCGGCCGCCCTCGCGGGGGTGGGGGGCACCGCCATGGGCAGCGGGGCTGGGTCACATCTCCGCGGGCGGCCGGTCGCGTCGCGCGCCCCCTCGCGCCGCGGGGTGCAGCGGGGCGGCCTCGGGGCGCCCAGGATCCCCAGCTCCGGCGGCGCCCGGCGCTCCTGGCAGACGGGAGCTCGGGAAGGCGTGCCGGAACCGCACCCCTCCGGCGCCTGGGGTGGAGAGCTGGGTGCCCCGGGGCGAGGGGAGGGTTCCCGCGATTTCTAAGGCAATAGGGATTTCAGTCCTGAAAGTCTGTTTCCATGGCCTTACCAACGAGGTGATGACAGCAGATAAAACTTCAACCTCAGGCACCAGAGCCCATAGAAAAATGATTCTGGTATTCAGGCCTGGCAAATACTCCTTTAAAACAACAACAACAACAACAACAACAAAACCCATTTTCTTCTTTTTTTTTTTTTTAAGACTTATTTATGCTTACAAGAACTGGGGCACAGGCCAGAGGTGCGGGCTGTGTGTGTGTGTGTGTGTGTGTGTGTGTGTGTGTGTGAGAGAGAGAGAGAGAGAGAGGATTTACCAGAGACAGAGTGGGGAGCAGAACAGGCAGATTGACCGAAGTACACTGCAGAGGGGAGCAGCGGGCAAGTCAGGAGAGGTCTGCTGCGCCCTGTGGGTATCTCCCTGGCTGGGGATTGAACTCGTGCTGCAGTGGCTGCGGACAGCTTCATAGGCTTTGTCTCAACCCTTTGCACCAACAGGGAGGCCCTGATACTCCCTTCTTTAAAACTTTTGAAATGTCAGAGTTCAATACGGGAAGAAGAATGAAATCAACATTCATTTCTCAACTGACTGTCAGAAGCTCTGCCACACATTGTATTTGATTTCATTTACTCCTCACCACCTACAAAAGGCACTGTCCCAACTGACAGAGGAGGAAAGCAAAGCCAGGAAGTCGTGGGTCAGTCAGGATGAAGTTTCCCAAACCTGTGGACAGTGGAGTGGATTGCCACAAAAGGACACCCTAGGCCCCAAGCTCTTGAGGAAGGGAGGGAAGGGGTTGAGATTCTGCAATGTGTTTAAATGTACAAGGAAAACCTGACAGCCAGTCTCAGCTTTGCCCCTTGAGGAGCTGTGAAAGTTGGACTCAGCTTGAAAATAGAGAAATGAACGATTTAATTCAGATGCATTTCTCTTTCCCTCACAAATACTTCTTTTTTCAAATGTACCATAAAGAGAAAGGGGCCTCGGGCCTCCCCGGTGGCGCAGCGGTTGAGCGCTGGGTTGTGAAGCTGCCCGCGGCCTCTGCAGCGCCGGTTCGATCCCCAGCTGCTCCCCGGCCACCGGAGGAGGGTCCCACATGGCGCGCAGACCTCTCCTGCCGCCCGCTGCTCCCCTCAGCAGTGTACTTTGGTCCTTCTGCCTGCTCTGCTCCCCGCTCTGGCTCTGGTGAATTCTCTCACCCTCCCGTGCTTCTGACTGTACCCAGTGCATGTATAAATAAATAAATAAATCTTTAAAAAAAAAAAAAAAAAAAGAGAAAGGGGCCTCAAATGAGATCAACTGCCTTCATCTTAGGAAAAAAACGACCCTCCAGTAATTAAAAAAATAGGTGTTTTTGTTTTTGTTTTTTTGGTAAGAGGACGTGAGAGCATGGGCGGGATTTTCAGAGTCCTCTAAATACCCTCTTCCCCAGAAGGAGTTGGAAAAGGAATGAATATAGGTCGAGTTTTCCCTTTGTCTGGCAGTCAGGGATTTGATTCAGGAGACAGGATCCTGCAAATCACATTTGCCTCCCAGCGGGCTCCTTGGCTTTCCACCATTAGGGGACACTGCAGAAATACTTAAAGTTGCAGGAGGGGTGAAAGGACTTGCTGCTTCCTACTTATTTGCTGTTCTTGTCAGCAATATCCTTGTGGACTGAAAGAAACTCCGCTGTGAAACAATTCAAAGAGAAGTTAAAGAGGTCATTCAGGGAAAATTTAGCATCTTGACCTGGAGAAACAGTCTTTGGATTTCTCTGAACGCAGGCCTTGCCTTTCAGAGGTTTGGTTTCAGTCTACATACCTTTGTTTCAAGCAGGGTATATGTGTGAAAGGTACATTTTACAAAGCTGACACCTGGTTATTGTGTAACATTCTTGCTTAAAGATAAAGGTTGGGAAGTCACATTGTTTGTATAACTTAAGAAATTCACTAAATGTGGTCAGATCTACTATATGTATGAAAAGGCAAGAGTCAAGGCTACTATATCTTTTTATTCTACAGTGTATCTCCCAAGATGTTTGGGGCAAGCTGTGCCTGTTCATAGTTAGGTTATCACATCCCAGCGCTGTTGTTCTTCCAGCAGCTGTGATAGAGTGGCAGGGTGTACCTTCTGGTAAGGTGGCCAGTCCTCTGGTATCTTCACAGTTAAGGCTTTATTAGCTGACTTCTGGCCTCTGTACCATTTCCAGTGCCCACAGCTGTTTGATTTTCTGCTTATTTCTCCCTTTTGTTCCTTCAACTCTTCTTGCAACAGAGTATTTGACAAAAGGGCAATTTACCTTTTTAGTTCTCCAACATCCGTTTAAAAAATTCCTTACAGGGCCTCCCCGGTGGCGCAGCGGTTGAGCGCTGGGTTGCGAAGCTGCCCGCAGCCTCTGCGGTGCCGGTTCGATCCCCGGCTGCTCCCCGGCCACCAGAGGAGGGTCCCACATGGCGCTAGACCTCTCCTGCCCTCCGCTGCTCCCCTCAGCAGTGTACTTCGGTCCTTCTGCCTGCTCTGCATCCTGCTCTGACTCTGGTGAATTCTCTCACCCTCCCGCGCTTCTGACTGTACCCAGTGCTTGTATAAATGAATAAATAAATCTTAATAAATAAATAAATAAATAAATAAATAAATAAATAAATAATTCCTTACAGCAAATTCTTTCTGTTTAAATGACTACTATGGTTTCCATTGTCCTGGCTGGACTCTTAGGAACATAGTAAGAGTTAAAAGGACCGAACATTAGAGAAAGGACTCTGTGTTACCTCTATATCATCAGCATCGTCCTGAGTTGCTGTTGTTCTTTCCAATTGTAAATTATGTTACCTTGGCTCCAACTTTGTCATTTTAAGTATATCATTTATGTCCATATATAGGATATATATTTGTCATGGAAGTATTTTGAGTTCATTGTTTTGGGGTATCATAACTTTTGGACTTGTGTGCATTTCTGTTCAAAACCAAATTATTCATGGCCTGAAAGAGGCGAGAGGTATACCCATAGTCTTCCCTGTCTTCTCCCCAGCCCTTCTTAACACAAGCAGTGACATTTCATTTTTTTTTACTGAGAAGTGAAAATGGGTAGGATAACTGGCCTTGGAGGCCTCTCCTCTCCTAAGGAGATTATTCCTGGTATGCGAGCCAATTTGTTTTTTGTATTCCCTTCTTCTCTCCCTCCCTTGACTGGTTCTTATTTTGCATTTGTCAGACCTCACGTCAAAGTTTCACTGGTTTCATACACCTGTTAAAAAAACCATTCTGTCCTCAGGACACCTGTGGCTTTTATAGGATCAGTGTGACCTGAGAAACTGTTGAGTGCTCATTTGATAGTTCCCATGCATTAAATTAAAGCATTCAGTCACAGATTTTCTTTTGTCTTTACCCTGTGACCTGGAACTCACTATAGGGAGTTTCCTTTGCATCTTTAAATCCTACCCTCTCACCCAGGGCTGTTTGCTTCAAAAGAGGCAGTCTTAATCCCTCCTTGTTTAGACCTTCCCAGTCAAAATAAACCCTAGTATATCCTTTAGAAGAGTTTTGAAATGACTCAATGCATTAAAATTGATGGGTTTTCTTTCTACTCTAAAAGCTCGCAAGCCTTCCTGCATGAGTTACGAAGCTGACATATTAATTTCATGGCTCCTGATAGATTTCTGGACTTTAACCAATACCATAAACCAATATCTCATCCCACATCACTACCAGCACAAAAACCACAAACTTTTCTTAGTTGATTTTAGTTCCTAAATGGTTACGATGAAATGTCATCCTCATCTTCCTCATCATCTGAAGTTACTTACTCTAAGCCAGGCACAACACTAAGAATTTTACATTTGCTACTCCTTCAAGGCTTTTAACAATTCTGTGAGTTAGTATTTTTCCTTGTAGAAGAACTGGGGTGTAGTCCAGAGGTGAGAGAGAAGGTGTGTGACAGGATTTACCAGAGACAGAGTGGGGGACAGAACAGGCAGATGTACTGAAATACACTGCTAAGGGGAGCAGCAGATAGGACAGGAAAAGTCTGTTGCGCCATATGTGGGTAAGCTCTCTGGCCAGGGATTTAACTCAGGCTGTTGCAGTGATAGTGCTCAGACTTAACCCCTAGGCCACCAGGGAGGCCCTGTGATTTAGTCTGTTATCCCAGGATTGTAAAACAAGGAGACAGGCTTGGACAGGTCACTTAATAAACCACAGACTAGGGTCTGAATCCTGGTTTATCTAATTCCATAGTCTGTGCTTTTAATGACTTTCTTTTATGCTACTTACACCTGAGAAAATAAAGCAAATACATGTGAGGGGCTGAACTGTAAAATAACGCCATAGTAAGAAGTAAGCTTTTTTAATTTATGAAATGTAGCATTGTTATTTCCAGCATAAACTACATTGTGAATGGAAGCAGATATCCATCCCTGGACGCAGGTATGGTCAGTGGCAGGTTTAGAATGTTCTAAGGAGCATGCTCAAAAGTTAACCTGAAGATAAGAGGGACATTAGAGGGAAAATATTGGCAAAATAAATTTATCTGAAAAGGGTTGGCATGGGGAGGAATTTAAGAAAGGGGAGAACGTCCTGGATGGATTAAGTATACCATACTTAGGAGACTTCTAAAGTCCTTTTACTATACTCTGTCACTCACTGAGACTATTTGGGGCCATTAGCAACTTTCACATTATGTCATCTGTTTAAATTCAAATAATATCTATTATCTTAAATCCTATGGAATCCTATCTTATCAAATTTTCCACCAACTCCTTTCATATTATTTT